GTATCACAAGGTTGGTTATCAGTTAAGCCAGAACAATGGTGGAATGTCACAAGGTCGGTTAATCGGTTAATCAGGCACTGCAGGAACTAGCTAGTGTTCTTTTGTTGCAGGGGTGGGGATGGGGCGAGGGGTGGGGCGGTAGTGGGGTGGTCGTCACTAGGTGCAAGGTCCAGTATCACGAGATGAGTTTATTAGTTAAGGCAGGAATAGTTGAGGCAGGAATGATGGCAGAGCTCGCCATTCTTTCTTCTTTTCTGGAGATGGAACATGCAGGTCGCAGGGGTCGACATGGCCCGACTAGGGTATGGCCTATGGTGCAGCCAGTTACCAGTTCAAAGAACTTTGCATCGCCCAGGCTGAAGTGCAGTATGGCGATTGTGGCTCACTGTAACTTCTGCCTCCTGAGTTCAAGTGATTCTCATACTTCAGCCTCCTGAGGAGCTGCGATTACAGGCAGGCAACACCACGCCCTGCTTTTTTTTTTTTTAAACAGAGTTTTGCTCTGTTGCCCAGGCTGGAGAGCGGTGATGTCATCTCGGCTTACTGCAACCTCCGCCTCCTGGGTTCAAGTGATTCTCCTGCCTCTCAAGCGATTCTCAAGCCTTCCAAGTAGCTGGAATTACAGGTGGGCGCCACCACACTCGGCTAATTTTTGTATTTTTAGTAGAAACGAGGTTTCACCATATTGGCCAGGCAGGTCTCAAACTGCTAACGTGATCCACCTGTCTTGGCCTCCCAAAGTGCCAGAATTACAGGCGTGAGCCTCCATGCCTGGCCTGCTAATGTTTGATTTTTAAATTTTTGGTAGAGACGAGGTCTCACTATGTTACCCACCCTGGCCTCAAGTGATCCTCCTGCCTTGACCTATCAAAGTGCTAGGATTACAGGCATGAGCCACAGCACCCATCGTATTTTCTATTTCTTGCAATGTGAAGATCCTAACTGACAATATGTTCATTCCATCCTCAAATCAACCCTGGGAAGATTTTAAGTCTTACTTTACAGTTTAGGAAACTGAGACTCCAAGGGGCTAATTTCTTCAGGAACCCTCAGCAAGGCAGTGGTAAATTGGGACCAGAATCTGGGCTTTCCTGGCTCTCTACTGGGTGCTGTATTTACTAGAGCAAGGTGGGAACAACACCCAAAGCCAAGTCTCACTTTTGCCCCATGGCAGACATTACCAATCAACTGCCAAACGATTTCCCCATTAATCCACAAAAGGTGTCTGACTTCCTGTCCTCTTAGGAGGTCAGACCTGTTTCCAAGGTCCAGGCCATAGGGGATCACCCTGGCTCCCCTTCCCACGAACGACCTCATTCCATCTGGATTGAATGGAATCCAGTAGAATGAAGGGAAAAGAGGATTCCCAGACTCCCAAATCCAAGGGCCTCTGCCCAGCAGCAAGCTGTATGGGGGTAGCCACAATCTCCCCTCCTCCTCCCCACTCTCCAGCTGGAGATAAGACATAGAGGCCCAGAGAGGGCCCGAGGTTTCCTGGACTCACACAGAACCTGGGGGCAGAGCTGGGTAGTGTGGGTGCTCCAATTCCTTTTTTATTTTATTTATTTATTTATTTAGAGACGGAATCTTGCTCTGTCGCCCTCGCCAGAATGCAGTGGTGAAATCTCAGCTCACTGCAATCTCCGCCTCCCAGGTTCAAGCAATTTTTCTGCCTCAGTCTGCTGAGTAGCTGGGACTGCAGGCGTCTACCACAATGCCCAGCTAATTTTTTAATTTTTAGTAGAGACGGGGTTTCACCATATTGGCCAAGCTGGTCTCGAACTCCTGAGCTTGTGATCTGCCTGCCTCGGCCTCCAAAAGTGCTGGGATTACAGGCATGAGCCACTGCACTCAGCTCCAATTCCTCTTTAAAAATAAATTAGGGGGTCCAGGCATGGTGGCTCACGTCTGTAATCCCAGCACTGTGGGAGGCTGAGGTGGGCAGATTGCTTGAGACCAGGAGTTGAAGACCAGCCTGGGCAACACAGAAAAACCTCAACTCTACTAAAGCTACAAAAACTAACTGGTCGTGGTGGTATGCGCCTCTAGTCCCAGCTACTGGGGAGGCTGAGATAGGAGGATCACTTGAATCTAGGAGGTTGAGGCTGCATCAAGCTGTGATCATGCCACTGCACTCCAGCCTGCATGACAGACCTGTCACGAAAAATAAAGTAATTAAAATAAGTTAGCTGGGGCCAGGTGCAGTGGCTCAGGCCCGTAATCCCAACACTGTGGGAGGCCAAGGCAGGGTGAAATCACTTGAAGTCAGGAATTCAATACCACCTGACCAACATGGTGAAACTTTGTCTCTACTAAAAATACAAAAATTAGGCTGGGCGCGGTGGCTCAAAGTGCTATAATCCCAGCACTTTGGGGAGTCAAGGAGGGTGGATCATTTGAGGTCAGGAGTTGAAGACCAGCCTGGCCAGTATGGTGAAACTCCATCTCTACTAATACAAAGATTAGACAGGTAGAAGTGGCATGTGCCTGTAATCCCAGCTACTCAGGAGGCTGAAGCAGGAGACTGGGCGGCTGAGGTCGCGGTGAGCTAAGATCGTGCCACTGCACTACAGCTGGAATAACAGAGTGAGACTCCATCTCAAAATAAATAAATAAATAAATTAGGCCGGGCATGGTGGCTCATGCCTATAATCCTAGCACTTTGGGAGGCCAAGGCAGGTGGATCACCTGAGGTTGGGAGTTTGGGACCAGCCTGACCAACATGGAGAAACCCTGTCTCTACTAAAAAATAAAAATACAAATTTAGCCGGCAATGGTGACACATTCCTGTAATCCCAGGTACTCTCAAGGCTAAGGGAGGGGAATCATTTGAACCCAGGAGGCGGAGGTTGTGGTGAGCTGAGATCGGACCATTGCCCTCCAGCCTGGGCAACAAGAGCAAAACTCTGTCTCAAAAAAAAAAAAAAAATAGTTAACTGGGTGTGCTGGTGTGTGCCTGTAGCCCCAGCTACTCAGGAGGCTGAAGTGGGAGGATCGCTTGAGCCTGGGAGGTGGAGGTTGCAGTGAGCCAAGATCACGCCACTGCACTCCAGCCTGGGCAACAAAGCGATACCTGTCATAAATAAATAAGGTAAATAAATAAAAGAAAAAAACATTCGAATCCTGGACAGGAGGCCAAAGGAAGGGCTGGTTTGCTTAAGGAGCCCATCTGAGGATTATTTAATTCTTTCCAGGAAACTTTGGTTAGACTTTACTATTTACTTTTGATTAAGGGCCGAGGCTCAGTGAAGTTATAGGTTGACTTGTGGATTTGTGTCTGAGACAAAAGATAACACAAAAAGTTACGCTTGATTGACGGAAAGGACATTAGTCAGGTTGTTGAATTTTGTGTTTCTGAATTGAATTTAGGAATCTTCCTTCCTTCCCTTCCCTCCCTCTCTCCTTTCTTTTCTTCTTTTCTCTTCCTTCCCCTCTCTCTTTCTTTCTTTCTAAGATGGGGGTCTCTTACTTGGTATATTCTCTGGAGTTTTTGGCAAAAAAAAAAAAATGGGGGTCTCATCATATAGCCCAGGCTGGAGTGCAGTGGTGCAATCACAGCTCACTGCAGCCTTGAACTCCTGGGCTCAAGGGATCCTTCTGGCCTCAGGCTCCTGAATAGTTGGGACTACACACGTGTGCGACCACACTCAGCTATTTATTTATTTATTTATTTATTTTTTTAGAGATGGAGTCTCGTTCTGTCGCCTATGGTGGAGTGCAGTGGTGTGATCTCAGCTCCCTGCAACCTCCGTCTCCTGGGTTCAAGTGATTTTCCTGCCTCAGCCTCCCAAGTAGCTGCAGTTACAGGTACACGCCACCACGCCCAGCTATTTTTTCTATTTTCTATTTTTTATTTATTTATTTTTTTTTGAGACGGAGTTTCACTCTTGTTACCAAGGCTGGAGTGCAATGGTGCGATCTCAGCTCACCGCAACCTCTGCCTCCTGGGTTCAAGCAATTCTCCTGCCTCAGCCTCTCAAGTAGGCGGGACTACAGGCGCGCGCCACCACGCCCAGCTAATTTTTGTATTTTTAGTAGAGACAGGGTTTCACCATGTTGACCAGGAGGATTGTCTCAACCTCTCTTTTTTTTTTTTTTTTTTTTTTTTTTT